TGGATTAATGCCGAAACTTTTCATTGTTCAGAAGTGTCAACATCTGTTAAGAATATTCTTTCCTAAATTGACACAAAGGGGAAGATTGTTGTGTTATTTATTGTGTTGTGTCAAATTAGTTATGCATGTTTTTAGTATTTATTAATATCGGATTGGGCCTGTCCATCCGTCATTATGGTGCTAGGGTTAGAATGTAAATATAGTATGTATGTATGTATCATTTTAGAGTTAATGTTTTGGTAGCCCTATGTATCTTTAAAGAGAAGTTCTTATTGAAGTATTTTAAGATATTGAAAATATAGCATTCAGAGCTAATTCAATCACTTTCAATCTTTGTTCTTATTGTTTGATTGAGAGAAATTTTTTTGAATTTTTCGATCATTATTTTATTGTTTCAACAATTCGTATCAGAGCAAGAGATTGTGTACTACATACGCATATCTTCTGTCAAACATACTAGCATTTTGAGTTTTTATCAGATCTGTTCTAGCTGTCTCCATCATTTTTCATCCATTGTAGATGATAAAATTGGGTCTTTGTTTTATCCTAATCTCGATTTGTATTTTAAACATCTGATTCATTACAGTTTTGATAGTCATGTTAAAGATGAATCTAGAAGAACCACATAATCTTTATTTTAATCTTTCTTGTAGCATTGGCTCGACTACCAGGATCCCAATCATTTTACCACAAGACTATGAAGTTTGGGTTCTACACTTTGAAGATTACATTCTTGGTCTTGAAGAACATGGAACCCTAATATGGGAAGAAATGATGAATGAGACCTTCATTCATTCTAGTAAAAGAAATACCATTAAGACTCAAGATGAATACAATGAACTTCTTCAAAATGTTAAGGACGTTGCACAATATGAAAAAAAAAGTTGCTGAGTAACATAAAAGCTATGAGAATAATTAGGTTTTCTTGGCCTTTGGATACATTTCGTATGGTTAGTGCTTGTGAAAGGCCAAGGAAATATAGGACAGGTTGAAAGAACTTTACTCAAGTGATGTAGCTCTAGAACACTCTTTACAAACCTTTCTCTTATCATAGTTTGTTGCTTTTGTTCAGAAGCCTAAAGAGAAACTTGATCAAACTTTTAATCGCTTTAATCATCTCTTAGGAAGAATGTTAAAACACAAGAAAAAGTGTGAAACAATTGAGCAAAAAGCAAGTTTCATGAATGGCTTGAGGTTCGAATGGAAAGTAGTGGTATCAACTGTGAAAGCTGATCATGAATAGTTTAAGTTTTATACTTTGGTGAAGCTAGTGGAGATTTTGTGATCCAATGAAGATGAAGTGACAGAGGATGTGAAACTTGTCTCCAGTATGGGTTCGTTGGCCCTAGTTGCGAAGGGGAAAAAGGTTTCAGAAGAAGAGTCAAAATTCGACCTCTCGGATTATGAACCCACCAAGGAAGAATATACAATGTTGGTTTCTAATCCCAAAAAGTTCATTAATAAGAACTTCATTCGATTCAAGAGAATAAATATGTTAGGAAACTTCAATTTTCAGATGTCTAAGGATGAGAGTTATAAAAGCTCACAAAAGGTAGAGGAAAACCAAGAGAAAAGTTTTCTTGGTGATTCAGGTTATGGTTGTTACTACTGTCATGGAAAGAACCATTTTACCAAGGAATGCATGCTGAGAAAGATGAATGAGAGTAGGGAAGCTTAAAAGAATGAAACTTACTATCTTTAGAAGATGGAAGGGTTGAGGAAGGGAAAGAATGCAGAGAATGTGAAACCTTCTTTGACTGTGCAGGAGGATGGGGATGAATTTGGACGAGTTGAGGTATAGTCAACTGATTCGGCAGATAAAGAGGTCCGAAAGCCGACACATGGTGAGTGCTTTGTTGTGAAGGATGATGCGCAAAAGTATGTTGGGAAATGTACGATGGTGTAAAGCGAAGTCTCAGAGCAGAGTGGATTCGCAGCTGATGCAGGGCGTACTACTAAAAGCTGTTTCACTATGAGGCTAGTTTCAAAATAGGTGAGTGAGTGAGTGAGAAAATGTCATCCACAAGGTACACTCCATACTTCAATCTCTTAATATTCCTGCTACACGGTATGAATCTGAATTAGATGATTTGAATTATACTTTGTCTAGTTTTAGTGATAGTTTAAAGAGAACTCGTCTAAAGAATCCTAAACTAACTGATCAAATCAGTAGGATAACAAGTAAAAGTGAAGAGAGATGAATGCGGATAGAGAAGTTGGAGTTAGAGTTGACTAGGTCTAGGGATGATGTCATTTATTTGAGACGAGACAATTTATCGCTTTTAAAACAGCGAAATATTTTTTGTTTGATTGTGCAACTATTTTATTTTAACATTACCCAACTGCATCTTTATTTTGAAATAGGAAAAAAAGATACACAAAATGATTTTGCCCTTTCTCAAACTAAATGAGGATGAAATCGATGCCGAGTGCTACACGTGCGAGTCCATAGTCTCTTTCGAAGAGGTTTCATACACATATCGAGTTGGAATTGATAAAATTAAAGCCTACATACAATCCAACAACCATAAGAACATGTTAAAACAAGTTTTGGATGAAAAAGATAAAGAGAAAATTAAATCTGATATTGTGCAAAAAATTTACTCAGTGTGCACGAATTTGAGTTCAGAAAACACTTTTGATACTAACAATGTTTTTGAATTTGATGAGAGTGACATGAGTGAAATTGTTGTAGAGGATGAGATTGATTGTTCAACTTTTGTTCAAAATGAATCTGAACCTATGAATAAGTTATTTTCTAAAAACTCTATTGCATATGTTCGTATTGTAGAAAACAAAGGTTCACGTGTTCATAACAATTAGACTAGACACAAAACATACTTTAGAACTAACAACTATCGCTAATGACGATAATGCTAATGGTTGTCCCAAAATTTTCTAGGTTGGTCCTATAAACAATGCAGATGAGACAAGAGGTCTGTCCGAATTGACCTCTTGGAAGATGAAAGTCAGATATGTCTCATATCCCATAAATTCTTTTAATCCATGTAGCAATTAGGTAAGTCCCAGTGGCACTAAATATGTCCCATACGAAACCTCTTTCGAACCGTCCTGTCCTAAGATCAGAAGGAGAACCCTAGATCTAAGGTTCATTTGTCTGCTGAAGAAATGATAGCTAGAAAAACCAAATGAACAGTAGATACAAGAAAAATCAACAAGCTAGGAACCAAATATGGAAAACTCATTATTCTAATTACAATGTTGTTCATTCAGTAAGATCTGCGGTTAAAAATATGAAATCTACTCTCGTTTAGAGTTCGAAACCAAATTCTGTTTCGAAACATGTTACGAAACCTCCGGTTAAAAAACTTGCTGCAAACCCAAAAAATTACGCAAAACCTCAAGTTTCAAAACCATTTTAAAAGGCCAAGCATAGATTTTCTCCTAAATCCAAATTTTCAAAAACTGCCAATGCAGTAAAAGATGTTAAA